AAAATTAAGCTTTAATAGCGGCAATCAATGAAGATGAAGAGATGCTGTATGAACCCCGAGGCCCTGTGGAAATAAGCGTGGCATACGTCAACGGTTCGATCTGGGTATGGCTCCAAGGGATTTCCCCGTTTACCACAATCAAATTATAAATTTTAATCCCAATTGTTGTCACCCAAAATGGAACAGAAATCTCTGGGCACTGGTAAGATCCATCCGCCGGCGTCACTGCCAAGACTATTTTGCATTCTTAATTATATGCATAAAAAATAGAAAACAAAACAGAAACACATCTCCGTTTTGTTTGTCTTGGTTTTTAGTTTTTTCTGTGAATGTGAATGTGCTGAATGTTGTTGATTCTATTTGGGGGAATGTCTCGGATTGGTTCGGTACGATTCTCGCTTCTCTGGGCGATCTATAGCAAGTGTTTGGCCGTCATCCCATCTCCATCGAGTGGCCACGTCCCTCAATCTTTGCCACTCGAGATACTCTTTCGGTTTTTATTTTGTTTAATGCGATTCAGAGTCCATTGCCATTGCTCTGGTGCTCTGGTAACTGGCCGTGTCAGGTAATCTTTGTCAACTCCCCGCTGATTAAATCGGCTCCACTTCACCCATACCAAAACATCGAAGAGAATACCCCAAAAAAACATCTGAAAGAATAAATACAGGCGGCAGGCCACTCACTTGTCTCACTTAAAAGGTGATAACAAGATGCTCGACAGGTGAAGCCAGACAAAAAAAATTAGAAACATTTGCTGGGCTCTGGCTACCGACCAAAATGACAGATGGAGCTCTCCGATTTAAGCCCCAAAGCAAATAAATCTGTAATAGAAATGTTGGCAATCTTTCTTGCCTTTTGCTGTTTGCTGAAGCAATTCTCAAAAGTTTAATGATATATTAATATGAGATCAGTGCTGGAAAACAACTATCGAATCCGGGGCCTAGGATTAGCGAGAAAACAAACAAATAACAATAATAATACATACGTCTTTTGGGGATTTTCGGCAATTTGTTTAACAAATTCCTACCAAGAGAAACGCAAACATCTTGGGATTATTCAAAAAACTATAAATTGTTAATGGAAATCAGCTTCTAGCGGTGACTCACTGATAATGGTGGGTATTTTCATATTGACTCAACAAAAGATTCAAATTCGAGTCATTTCGAAAAAGGTCGATCTCAGAATTCAATGCTTTCGAACCAGAATTTTGTAAACATGTTTGCCATGATTTATATCATATATCCACTACTGAATGTAAAGGGAAACTTGATTTCGATTTTGGCTTCACAGATCATGTTTCAAATTTCATATTAATTAATCGATAAATTCCATGTTTTTTGCATCTCTGATCGTGAGTGTTGATATAAGGCTTTTGTGTGGATCATTGACGTTAAATGCTTTCTTAGAATTTAAAATTAGCCAAAAATAGACTCGCCTAAAAGCCAAAATAACCATTTAAATAATGGCCATATTATTTATAAGACCATAAACCGTTGATTTAATAATGAAAGACGTATTAATCAAACATTAATGGGTTACGGAGGAGCCCTATCTCTGGGTACTACACCGAATGGGCGGAGTGACCTGAGAGTGTGTAAGCTGGTCAAGGTTTGCCCTTAATTATGTTCAACATTAAATTAGAATTAGGGTTTTCCCGCAATCAAACTCCAATTTCTGGGCCGATGCCGTCGAAACGGATCTAGAAAAAAAGACGCCCACACGGCACAAGACCACCACAAGAGCCCTTCACTGAAGAGGCTCAGAAATACCCACAAAAAAACAACATAAAAACCAAAACCAATTGCAACTTAATGAGCAAAAAGGGCGGCCAGAAAAGAGCCAAGAAAAGAATACTCAAAAGAAAGTAGGCAAATCCATCGATGAGCTGATCAAACCAAATTCAAACATCAAAGCCGGCAAAGTCATCAAACATAATCGAAACAAAACAAAAAAAAAGAATTGGGGGAGAAAAGTTGCCAATCGTTAAGATACATATAAATAGATACAAGTACAGTGGTCTCTGGTAAAATGGAATTATGAAATTGATACAAGAAGAAAGTAGGTAATTGAATAAAATAGGAAAGTTTTACAAGAAGAAAGTAATTAATTAAATGAATTCTAAGATAAAAAGAAGTGAATATATATTAAAGATAAATAAATATTAGATATCATATCAAGCCAAAGAATTAGCTTTATCCTCCGGATTTGATCAAGTTTGAAGTTTAAAGCAAATACTTAAAAAACAAATTGATTTTATATAAATTACACAAAAGAGCTTGTATGAAAATATTGTTTTCTGATCAAAGATAAAAAGAAGGATAGCAAATTGATATATAGATTATCCTGACAAAGTTGAAATCTTTTAACAATATCCATTTGCTGAAAAGCTCAATATTTTAAAGTTTTAGGTGAAGAATTTAAATGTTAAGTAATAATACAAGCAATAAATAATTCAGTAATAATATTTAGATTACTAAATATTTTCTTAATCAATTAGGATAATAAAATAATAATTCGATCAATAAATAATAGGTAGAATTAACAGCCATGATGGAAATACCTTGGAAAATAATGTAAAATTAAATGAATACTTTGATGATTATTGATACTTTGTTAAATATTTCCTCATAGATTTACCCAAAATTCTATAACTATAATTCTATATATAACCAAATTCTTATAATTTCAACCGAAATACCTAATTATTCCCCACTCACTGATAAGATATATTGTCTTAATACTTCATCTTCCTAAACTTATGTATATTCAACACGATTAACATCTTTCAAACCCTATTTAAAGCATAAAATTAACTTGAAAACCATGAAATAGAACCCTGAAACAAATCCCATAAGTTCTCTGTAATTAGAATTGTTTATAATTTACGAGCGACTACTGTTGGGACAGTGGCAACACACAACACACAAACTGAGAACCGTACAAATGTTATGACATGCGAAATCCGGCAAGAAAGCCAGCCAAAAACAACAAACACTTTTACACTCGCAAAAGGTTTGCGCATCGACGTCGACAGAGGCAGAGGCAGAGGCAGCGACAGCGACGTCGCTCAGGTGGGCAGAACTCAGGTGAGCAGAGCGACTTATCCGCTAAGCTCGCTTCAGTTCGATTCTTGAGGCCGTTTAGATCGGTTCTGCTTTTTGGCGACACTCGCGCACTTGAGAATAAATTCTTCGCAGCGAGAAGAAGACGCGTCTTCTGACTGTCCCATACAATCGGAATAAAAATAATATATAAAACCGTATCGGTATCCCCAACAGCAGCCAGAACAGCTGAGTGTTTCGCGAGGAGCCGTAAATTTGAATAAATTGAATTTGAAATTAAAATTCGTTTTTAAGACGTGTCGTAAAAAGGCCAATTAAGAAACGAACCAGAGAGACTGACAACCGGAGCGAGACTCTGAGTATAAATACTCCAGATTGTGATATACTTACTAATTACCTTAAATTGTGTGTGTGATAAATTGCTGTAATAATCAAACAAATCCTCCCCGGGAGCCCAGAAACAAATTAACAAAGTCAACAAAAAACACAAAAAAAGTAAGTAAAGTAACAGACACAAAAATAAATACGGTGGGAAGAGAAAAAAATCAAAATCGAAAACGAAAACTGGCCAATCAAGTTGAATCAAATAAAGAGTGATAAGACTTCCGCATGCCTAAATAATATTTACAATAAATAAAACGCAAGAACCGACGACGAAACAAATTTATTAACTTCTGTGCCGTGTAAAACAAAAAACACACAGAAATTTTTGAACAAACGAATCAAGCTGCAAAGTCCAAACAAAAAAGACAAAAGCCACAAACTCGAATTGCAACTTTTGTATTCCGGCAAGAATTGATTTTATAGAATCAAGAACAATTGATTGCCACAATTACGTCAAAGCCAAACAATCGGCAAAGAGCCATTTCGAGAGAAAGGCCAAGATAAAAGCTTGCTTAAAAGTATAACAACAAACTGTTGCAACAACAACAAGCACTAACCGAATTAATAATAAATACAAATCAGGCTTTTAGCCAAACCAAGACCAGAGACCATAAATATCAAACAAGTTGCCAACAAGCCACCAAATGCAAAACAAAAAAAAGACAATCCAAAGACAACTGGAAAGTTCAGGTTTCTTAACTTTTGTTGTATTTCTTCTAACGCTAGCAAAGTCTTAAGTGGCAGGAAGAGAGCGGAGGAGGAGGTGGAGCCCAGAACAGGGAAGACTTAGATGTGTGGCCAAAAAAATACAAAATAAATAAAAGATATTGTAGAGCAAGCGGATGTACGAGCTCGTGACATGATCACAGGGCTTCCAGGCAAAGGAGAGAGCTCAGTTTTAACACTTACATAAAGTGACTGACCTCACCAATTAATTACACATTAAAATCTAGTACTAAATAACGTAAAAATAATTAATAAAATAAAATTTTAACTATTCAAATTAAGGGGTATATTAGCAGACTATTGTTAAAACCTAATAATGCCAGAAGAAGCATTATCATTGTTTGCTTGGTGCTAATTAGGTTCTACATAATTTTTACAATTTACTAAAGGTGTGAGATAAACATAAATACTTAAGTAATATTTGCAGATATAATATTTACAATATTGAATATCTCCGTTGTACAATCCCAAATAAGAGTTTAATCATGGAAAACAATATTAAATTATATGAATTATAAGGAACCTTAACATAAAGAACAAATTTCCAACAATCTTCAAACCTAAACCTTTTGAAAATCTAAAGTCTTGATCTAAATTTAAACAAGTGCCCTAAAAATATAGCTTAAACTTTTTTAAGGCTTTACTATAGTATAGTATAATCTCATAATATTCACATGTCTATCTTTCTAAATATTTAATTATCCTTTATACAACATTTTTCTAATAAGCTCTCTAATCTTACTAGTTTTTCTCCTATTAAATAATATTTAAAGAAATTTCCTTATCCCACATAGAAAAACTAACAAACTCTCTTCTCTTGCCTCACAGATGCAGGACTATTGGCATATTCCCCGCGCCTCACTGGCCTCCTCCTCGAGCTCGGCCATCAGTTCGGCCAGCTCCTCCAAGTCCTCGAACAAATCGCACTCGAATCCACCCACTCTGAACCAACGCAGCCTGCCCAGCAACAGCAACATTATCAACAACAATAGCAGCAGCTCCTCGACAAGTGCGGCTGTGACGGCAGCAGCTGCGGCGGCAGTTCTGGCAGCTGCCAAGAGGGGATCGAGAAGCTCGCAGGGATCCAGCGACAGCAACAACAGCACGCGGGTGAGTAAGTCGAGCCCACGCGGGCAGACTCCATTGGAGCAGCAGCAACAGCAGCAGCATGACTCAATGGACATTCTCTTCCCTCAACAGAGCGCCGCTTCCGGCTCACTGCTGCTGACGGCAGCGAATCTGGAACGTTTCGCGGAGATCCACAAGAAGCAGGAGCGTCACAACAAGATGCTGATCCAGCCCTCTAGCAATCCATCGTCGTCCAATTACAATGCGAATCTAGCGTTGGCTTCTAGCAATGGCAAGGATGCAGTGATTACCATCGATGGCCAGCAGCAGCAGGTTGGCAATGACGAGGCGGATCCCAATTTGCAGTACATTAAAACCAAAGACCTGGACACCGTGTCCATTGCCAGCTCCATGCACTTTACAATGGTCAACGGCGAGGGCGGTCCGCCCAAGAAACCGAAGCGTGGCCTCTGCGATCGTGGACGCCAGGTCACCGTTTTGATTGTCAGCATGAGCACCATCTTCATGCTGCTCATCATGGGCATGGTCTATGCGCTGGAGAGTAAGTTCCTTCAAACTAAATCCCTAGAACCTTGTTTTAATTCTTATTGGTTTTCTTCTTTTAGTGCGCGCCCGCGACATGCCCAAGAGCTAATGTTCAATCGTGTCTAGCCCAATTAGTTTATTATTTATTGTATTGTCTTTGTCACCCAATTATTATTATTATTGTTATCGTGTCGTCGTCTTGACGCTAGTTGTCTAAGCTATTTATTAAACGATTGTGTTTGGATTGAAGGAGTAAGGAAGGAAGAAAGGAAGGAAGGAGTATCGAAGTCGAGTCAGTCGAAGCTGAAGGGAAATTTTGTTAGTATTAAGCGCCCTATGCTACGGAGACAGAGAAACATACGAGGAACTAGTAGATCTGTATCTGGGATCGGATGATAGTAAATGCTGTATTTTCTGGTTTACCAACTAAGTTATTTATCCCTGTGATATGTTTAATAAAGTGAATTTTCTACATTGTACATGAGAGGGGAGAGAGTGTGTGACTCACAAGCACCTGTGTCGGGGGGTCAATAACTTTTTGGGGGTTTTACAGCTATGACCGCAGCCTTGGCAACCAGCGATGGCTATTATTTAAGGGGAAAACCTGCTTTAGGGCGGGAAACCCAAGCATAGAAGTGGACTATGATGAAGTTATTCATAAAGTTTGGCAAAGATTGCACTAAAATCTGATTGGTTCTTGCCAAGAAAACCGATAAACGGCTTGATTTTTAGACATTACCTAAAGTCTCACAACCTAACAACACTTTTAACCATTCTAAAACCATGGCAACACCTCAGTAGGTCACTATGGGTCAATATAGGGTCCAAGGACCACCCTTAACTGGGACTCACCTCCACCTCCGGCAGCGTTTGTGTCCAATTGTACTTGTCCAAGTTGCAGCCGTTGCCAGCATTGGGCTGCAGCTTGCCCACCTCGCTCTTTTCGGTCTCGTCGTCCACTTTTTCGATGGGCTTGGAAATGTCATCGCGATTTGAGGCAGCCGGCTCTCCGCTAGCACTATCCAGCAGATGTTGTCGTTTTCTGGAGAGGGAACATTGAGAAATCGTTAATAAACTTCCATTGTTATAGCATTAATTTTAAAAAGATATCTCTGATTAAGAACTTAGTTGAAGCTGATATTTTTACTGTTTTGAGGTCACAAATTCGTTTTAAATTGCTATTTTGCAAGGTGTAGTTAAGAAGTTAATTAAATATTGCCTAATAGGCAACAATTGTATTCCATTAGGCAATATTTTAATATATAGGTTGTCTAAGTAACTGATTATAAACAAGGCATAAAATCTTCTGGCTCAGTCAAGAACTATAAAAAACTATACGTGAAATATTCTGCTTACTTGTCCTCCTCCTCCTTAATGATGGCAGCAGCCTCCTCATCGGTGATATCACATATTTTGTTGTCGTCAATCTCCTTTTGGCGGGCCTCTCGCGCCGCCCGCTCCTTCTCTTCCTTGGCTTTTTGGGCAGCTTCGCGCGACTTTACCTTCTCCTGGTGCGCGCTCATAGCCAGCTCAGATTCCTTTTTAAATACGCCTAGCAGGAGGTTCTCCCACTCGGCCTGCTTGGCGCCCGTGAAGAAGTCGGTTTTGCGACGCAAAAAACTGGCCAGGGTGCCGAGAAACTGCGAACAAACAAAAAACAATGATTATCCAAATTTCCGGCACAAAGAAGTTCAGTCTTTGTCGTTATTTTTACCTCGGGCACACCGCCGCGGTGCTTTTCGGCCACGGCAAGCAGAATATTGTCGTAGAGTCCCTCTTCGTTAGACATGCTGTAGCGTGTTTGTACTTCTAGGAAATAAAATTCGGTTGATTTCTGGAAGATTCGATCAAAATACTTTTTGTTTTATCTGAAGCTCTGCTGCCGGCACATGTGAATTAGGGATGTGAAAACCTCGACGATTTCAAATATCGATGACATACATGGAACGGGCATATCGATAGCTCGCTGGTTTCAGGGATGGCAAGTAAGTATCGAAAAATAAGCCGAAACAGCGGAACAGAAAATATACCAAACAGCTTTCAATTAGCTTTTGACAGTGAACATCGTGTAACGGTATTTACTCGTATTTAAAAGAAAAAGCACAATAATAATTATTTTTTGTAGTAAATAAGCCAAGAAATTTATGTTTTTAAATTTTTTAAATTTAAATTTTTTAAATTTTAAATATATTTTAAAACAAACAAGCTGAATAAGTGAAATGACAATGCCCAATCATAACAAAATTTCCACATTCAAGCTCTCTCATTTCTGCTCCATTCTCATTGCTCTTCTCTCTCTTTTGGGGGATAGTTGCGATTTTCGTCCTATTCGCTCATTCTCTTTCGGTCTTTAAAAGGAATCGCACGTATTCGAAGCACGCGGAAAACGCAGCAAATAAAATAAAATCCAAATCAAAGTTAAAGTGTGCTAAAAGCAAGTGGAAAAGTGAAAAACTTTTGAGTTCTCGGTTTTTGTGGAAAGCGCAAAATTCGATAATCGGTGAAAAGCGAAGCAGTTAATCAGCGGAGTTCAAAGTAAATGAAAAATATGCGAAATTCCTCCATTCGTGGCTTAGAAAAATGTGATATGCAAATTACTTTACCCACACACACACACTCATGTATAGCGTGCTTGATATATTTACAAATAGTTGGGGAATAAGAAAAACGTAATACGGAAAAAAGATAAGGGTTCCGGGCTCTCCACTCCACTTCCCTCTGCCTCCCTCTCCCACACCGTTTCCCGTAGGAGTTTCTCCGGAAAATCAATAAATTTTACATGGCGCACTCATACACTCACAAACAGACAGCCAGGCGGGAGTACTGGAAGGAGAAGAAGAGCAAAAGAGCAGGAAGAAGTAGGGAGAGGAGCTCCCACACCACTAAATACAGCAGGGGGCATAAAGTTAAGAGACATTTGAGCAAGTGATTTATGAACAACATAAACGGTTTGATAAATAGCAATGTTTACTAGACTTTTTTGCAAAGTGTTGGCAAATGTGTTATTTATCACAGTAAATGTAGTTAAAAACTTTTTTAGTGGCAAAATGTGAAAACATTTAAGTTGTTTGACGTTTTTTTAACCAATACGTTTTTCGGTGTGTTTGTATATTTTAACTTGATTTGTGACTATTTTGGTGACGTGCACTATCGGTGTTTAGTTGTTAAAAAACAAACAATTCAGAAAGGGAAAATTTAAATGTGTTTAAAAATTTTTTATATTTTTGTTTTAACAATTTGCTTTACGCTCTCCCCTTTTTTTAATAATAATAAATTCAAGTTTTATGATATTTGTGACTTTGAAAGTATTAAAACAGAAGCTTCAATATAAATGACCGGCACTGTGACACCGCTGCTTTGCCGCCCTGCCGCAAGCCGCTCGTTCTTGTTCTTGTTTTTGTTCCTGCCGCTGTGAAGTTCTCTTCTCGTTTGCTCTCCACCCCCTGTTTCTGCTTCATCTTTTTGCTCCTGCTGGTTGACTATTTTATGGTTTGTGCTTCATTCGTGAATCTTGTTTCGCTATTTCCCGCCCCTTTTCGCCTCCTTCCAGCCCCCGGTGCTCTACTGCAGGCATGTGCGATGCAGACCAGATCTTCGCTCCGCTTCAAGGTCAGAGTAAGGTTAGCTCCGCACCGTGCCTCTCTTCGCTGCTCTGAAGGGCCATGACAGTGATTTTTTCTCCATTGCCAATCATCCATCTCCCTCTCGCCGGGAACAGTGGCGGCTGAAAAGCTGCGGCCGAGCGATTGCCGCAAATTGTTTTTCCTAATGGTCGCATCAAAATTAATGATAGCCACTGTGTGTTTGTATTTGTTTAGGAGCATCCTTTTTTTGTAACACTGACAAAATAATTTTTCTTTCCTCTTCATATATATAAATAAACTTTAATTATAATAGGAAAAAAATGTATGAACTTATTAACTTTTAATTTAATTATGTATTTATTTTGGTTAGGCATTAGGTTTTTATATTACGCAAGAAGCAGATATACGCCAAAAAGTAGGCAATTCATTTGTTTAAAATGTTGCATTATCCTTTTAGTATGTTGAAGTTAATTCATTCGATTTTATACCCATATTTATTTTTAGTGCAGTAGTCGAAAAATGTTTGCCTTACTGCGTCACTGCCCTTTGACATTTACACTTTCTCTCTGCGTGGGTGACAGCTTCCGAGCTCGCTCTCTTGCCCACCCACTCTCTTTCTCTCACACTCTCTGTCTCTGGGGCTTTTGCTCTCCTGACATAACCGTTATGTAATCAGCACGGCATTTCCTAGTTAGCCGCAAAAGAGAGAAAGGCTTTCGCAGTACAATTGCACTTCAATTTAAAGGATATGGTTCTTGCCTTTGTTTTATTACCCATTTCGTCTGTGTTTGTGTTTGTGTGTGTGCTCAGGAACTTAAAAAGGATTGTGTGAAATTGAGTGAGCAAATAAGATACAATAGACACAGGACTTGAGAAGAGATTGTGCAAGATTTCGCTAAAAGTGTGAACTAAGCACCCTTGTATGGCTAAGTGGCTTTAAAGCCCACTTTAAGCTTATCACGGATTGCTGGAGAGGAAAAAGAAAGCAACCGTGGAATGTCTCAACATTTTTTCACATTAATGGTCATGCCTTTGCAGTTCATTCCTTATTATAACCCCCCTTTGAAATCTGATATATTCTGCGGTTGCGGTTGAAATAAGGTGGCGCCGCAAGTTTGGTTTAATGGTTCAGTGATTTTCCAAACGGAAAACTTTTCAATTGCGTCGCAGCCTCTAAATTGGGTGAGCAACTAGGGAACAGCGGAGGGGATCAAAGCAAGTGCCCAAAGCAATTACGATAACATTGCATACTAAAATTCCCTTGAATAGGGTTCCTTAGTGTATAATTCATGAATTGTGTGTCAACAAATTATTGTCTTTAATTTTATAACAGGAAATAGAATTTCTTATTTACTATTATGCACAGAATACCTTGGAAAGGGACGTTTTTATAAATGGAAATTAATTAAATTACATTTTAATTAGTAGCAGTTGTCGGTAGACTTAGGCTTTCCTAGTTACTTTGATTTAAAAGGAATTAGAAACAACATATTTTTGTAAAATAAATTATATAAAATCCCTTTAATAGACAGATTCCATTATTTTCTTTTGTGCGAACATGAGTTGACTTTTAGTAATTAAGTTTATATACCTTGATCGATTTTCCATTGCCAGGATTACCTATAGTTGAGCCCTGATAAGCTCAGTCCCGAGGTCTCTTACGGAAAAAGATAAACAGAAGGCACCCAGAACAGAGAACTCGGGACTCAAATGAATCAGCTCCCCGTTGCAATTTACTTGCATTCTGTTTACATAACTCTACCGGAATGGTGGAGAAAGAAGGGGGTCTGGTAGGGCTGGACAACCTACCCCAAAAGTGCAACCGATCCCAGCCAGATACGGTCATAGAGAACTAATGTAAATTGCGACGTTGCTTGTTTATTGACTGCAAACTGTAGTCGCCTCTTAATTGGAGAGGTTCCGGGGCGTTGGGGAGTCGTCCGCACCTATGCCATAAATAGCAAACAGCTGCGATAATTTTCTTGGGGGCAGACAGGAATTTATGGAGAAAATAAACAGAGGAACTCAAAGCTTTTCCAATAAGCAATCATATAATTTTTATGTTATTGGAAGCCCTACAGCTCTTAGCTTGAAAAATGTGAAAGTTTCCCGTATTTCTTTATTTACATCTCTGGAGATGTTATTATTACTCAATTAGCAATTTAAGGTTTTTAATATAATCCCAAGAATTTCTATAATATTTACAGAGTTGTGGATTGCGTTTATTAATTACACTCAAAGTTACAGAATTTAAGAAGTGAGTGCTAATTTCTGGCTTGTTAACACTTTTTAGATATACATAGAACTTGACAACCTTCAATTTTAATAAGTTACTTAAATATTTTACTCAACTCACTAATAAGCAGTATAGTAAGTTTCAATACTTTATTAATGATATATTGATCTAATCAAAGTCAATGTAAGTTATCAGCCATTCGACACATTTTGTTATTAAAGGGGTTACTGAACAAGGTTAATTATCAGCCCTCTTAGAGCCCTGGCGCCCACTGTACGTGTAGATAAATAAGTTCGCATAATTGTAATTACTTCTACGTAATTCCGAAGCGCAATAAAAACACAAAACCGCAAGACGTCCCAGTGGAGGGGAATCTCTAATTAAACAGGCGATAATGAAAACAAATTGTAACTATTTTTAAAGCAATTGAGAAGATCCCTATCGGAATTCCCTCTGTGGAATCGGAGCACAAACTTTGCACAGCTGACTCAAGTGCACAGGTTGGAGGCCATAAAACAATAGGGGTACCAATAAAGTTGGTACCGACCGACCGACCACCTGATAAGCCCCCAGCCGGGTCAGATAATGCGCATTAATAATGGCAATAGAACCTTCCCCCCACCGATGTCTCCCCCTCTCTGATTTCTGGCCTATATCGTATCGTAAATCGCTGGCACAACAAATTTTATAGCAACGATGGCTACCGGGAGTTGGGGTTCTTTAGTGATTTTGAGATTGTGGAGCGGAAGAATGGTTTTGCTTTGGCTAATGACTTTTCCATTGTTCCAGAGCCTGGCACCCATTAGGACCTCCGATTATCCTTGATAATGGGGCTTCGTGACATGCCCCATCGTTAATCGCAAACTAACCACACGCAATGTTTGTCGACGCACAATTTATTTATTTATTTCGGCTTCGGGGTTATTGAAACTTGTTGCCTGCGCTTGTTTACATTATAAATAAATATATATCACAGGGGATAGATAGTATCTATAGATGCGGCCACATATCGGGCTCTCTGTGGATGTGGGCCACACGCGGCTGCCGCGTTTCGGACTTTGAGCCAACGCAATGGAAGTGCTGACTATATCTCTCTCCGTATCTCCTCCTGGTCTCCTCTCCGATCTCCGATCTATTCTAATCTGGTAGTCTGCAGACTTGTTTGCCATATTGGATTGCTTTTTTCTTCTCTCTTTAAAGTCTAAATATTTACAATGAGTGTGAGGCCAAAGTCTGCGCTTTTATGTGCCTGGAACACAGGGTGTCGCCTTTCTATAAATCCCATAATTATCCATATTAACTAAATGTCACAATAATAATTGGTAATTACCATTTGACACGTGATCAATAGTTCCAATGGAATTTGTGTTCGGAATGGCTTTCCGGCGATGTATATAGATAAAGTATATAGATGTGTCTGCTTGGTTGGCATTTTTCTGTACTCTGAAAATAGCATTCTATTCGTCTGACGCATTTCAGAAAGTTATGCAAGGAGAACGGCGGAAATGTGAAAGGAAATGGTCATTTGTCAATCAAAAATAGGGATAGATTAGTCCGAACCGGAAAAACTTATCAGCTATTCAACTTTTATAAATAGAGAATTAATTTAATTAAAGTGATATACACAAACATCTTAAAATAGTTACTCCTTTATCTTTATTCTTAAAATTTTTGACAGATACTTATGTATCTTTATCTTTATTCCAACACTCTATTAGCCTTTGCTCCCGCAAGCATAAATCCAAATAGTTATTTGTTTTATTCAAGTCTAGATTATCAAGTTTTATTGCTGCTTGTTTGGTTATAAAAAAAGTGGCCAAAATTTCTTTTTATATCCACACTTTTTGCGACTTATCTTTTGGTATCTCAGCGAGAGGGCTAGGTCAAAACTTTTCCACTGAACCCTCTGATCAGATCATGCAATCTCTGGCCCCTTTGGGCCATTGTCCCGAGTCACACACAACATGGGGCTTATCGGTCCGGGACGGGACTCTATTACGCATGCAGTCAGAAATCGACATCGAACATGTGTATATTTTTAGCCCACTCCTCTCAATCACGCATGCAAATCGTGAATATCGCCTTATAGCATTGCTCCCCAATGGAACGCAATCTCGTTGTACGAAAGGAAAAAAACCTTTACCTATCCCCCCTTGGGAAGGTTCAGTGTGCCAATGGAGTTTATCGTGACTGCGTCGTGAATGAATCTTATCTGTGGTCTTCTGGAATCGCCTGGGGGTGATCGAGGTGGCAGCGGGGTGCGCCAAAAGTTTATTAACTTAATAATAAAAAAAAGCAAAATAAAACATAATGAAAGAGAATTTCGTCTTCCTCTTGCCTCTACCTCAGTCGCAGACACTCGCACAGCACATGTTAGACGCCTGATACCAGATACCAGAAAGCCAAAAAATAAAAAAGAAACAAATTTAAGAAATTCGGCGGTGTTTGAAATAGAAAGTGCCCCTTTTAAAGAAAAATATATTAATTGTAGAAAATATAAAGTATAATTTGGTATTAAAGCTGATAAATAAGGAATCAAATTCAATAGCAATGAGTTATAAAACAGTTTTTATTTATGCAAAAATATATATTATATATTAAATATATTCATTATATAAAATACATATATTTTATGTCTTTAAACCCTGATTCCTATCTATCTTTATAAAATATAAATATCTATTAAATCTGATCAACTAGGAACCTTTCTCAATCCAGATTGTATTCTATAACGGTTTTAAGGATAATCTTTATATAAGCTACATATTAATAGAAATATATATATCTCTAAACCCTGATTGCATACTTATATAAGATATAAATAGCTATTAGCTGATATATTAGGAACGGTTTAAAGGTTTTTTTTTATCGAAAAAGGAAAAATATATTTTCAAACCAAAATTACATATTTCAAATAGAAGTAACTTTTAAATATAATAAATAAATAACCATCCTTAAACCAAATTGTGTTCTTTATGGTTTAAGGTGTAATATTTATCTATGAAACATATTCATAAAAAATTTAACTTTAAACCCTGATTTACTCTCTATGTATATGTTTCAATCAATATACTTTCAATACTCTGCACTACCAGGTAGATTTTTTGCAATAGAGAATATATTATCGCTTGACCAAATTTCGGCACTTATCGCGGCGAGGAGCAGCCGGGAACCGGTTCCATGGCCCCATCCTCCGTGCTCCTCCTCAAATATATCCCCCACCAAGTGGTGGGACGGCGAGAATGTGTCACCCGAATGGTTCGCCAAAGATTGTGATGTGACGTGGTAGCCCCCGGCCAGATAATTCCGATCGCTCTCTGGGACTTTGAACCAGCGTCAGCTCGTTCGCTCGATCGTCTGCGGAGCACAATAGAAAGTCTCTCCTGATTAGATGGGAAGTGATTTAGTATAAGCAATTGGAACCCATGAACTTGGAATCTCACTCCCCCTCTTTTCCCTCTTATCGCACTTGGCTTTTTTTGATTGATTAGTTTATGCTGGCCTAATTAAATGAATCCCACTATATAGAGGTTATTTTTGTGAAAAGGTGTTGTGCACATAAAATTTAATCAAACGCATAGCGCAATGGAAAATTTTCAAAAGCAAGATTCTTCTAATGGAGAATCTATTTTTAACAAAGCTCACAAAGAGCAAAAATGTATCTGAAATAAAATGTGTATTTTCAAATGCATTTTTTTCTGGTCAAAAGGTGAAGGACCCCATAGAGAGATATGTAAATGAAAAAATAATATTCCATGTGCGACAGTGAATTATTATTTCTGAGCTGATGCTTCGAGATGTCAAGATGGAGCAGCATCAGAAATTCTACAAAAAGTATCTAAAATTATAATCCTAAGACAGCAGAACACCGATTTAATGATATTTTTGCTGTTGTTTTCGAAGAAAAAATCAGAATACGTTTTGTTGTTCATTTCGCATATTTCAAATTGTTATTGCTCAATCGTTTTTATTGTGCTGCAGTCTTTTGTAATTCGCATTTTAAAGCATTTTGTTGTGGTGTTTTTCATTTCAGACTGTGACGCCATTTAATGGTAATATATATATATTTATATTACGTATATATAAATCATTCCACAATTGCATTTGATAACGTTTTACGATTCTCAATCATTGCCGTTCCTAGTTCGATAAAACAATGTAAATATGGGGCGATTTCGTTGCATTACGTGAGTACATGCTTTTCAAGGTCCCACTTCTGGATGCAACGATTGTTCAACCCAACCGTCAATCAATTGAATCGATCGTTCTATCGTCGAACTGTCTATTTAGGGAGCAATTTAGCAAAAACTCATTCAGGTGAAGGAGGTACTCAGAGAGCGGGTTCCCGGGAGATCGAAAGCGTGCTAACTACAGTTGAAACCCTAGAACTATTCTATTTAGGAAATTAAATTAGGGTATTTTAGTACATTTTTATACCCTTGCAGGGTATTATAATTTCAGCAACGCAAACTTGTTTACTTTTGAAATGATAGATTTATGTATTTACAAGTAAAAGAAAAAAATTAGGGTCCCTACAAAAACACAAATTACATAATGAACAATACTTGAGGGAGTTTTTAAAAACGTGTTATTTATAGAAAATAAATAAAACAAGTTTACATCAAACTTTGTAAATCAACAACTTTATCGTCTGCCTCTAGAAACCCTTTTTCTTATAAATAAATATTTCATATTTAAAATTTCTAAATGTAATCATAAAGTTTGAGTTAATATTATATATTATATAATATAATTACATTTAAATACGCCTTTTAGAGTATTTCTTTTTCTAGTACTTTATTACTTTTTTTTTTGATATGTGGTAAAATTTTTACATAAATCCTATGAAGATCAATGTTTAGGTACTAATTCCTTAACTGCTAATAATTGATTCTAATACTTTAATTAATTTTAATCAAATATTTCTTATAGAAGTGTCCCTGTGAATATTTTCATGATAAGCACAATTGCATTACATGATACGAGTATTGAATCAGAATTGAATCAAGTGCCACAACTTGATGGGGGGACGAGAGAGATATAGACGCGATGTTATTATAGCGCTATATATGAGAGAGTCCAAGTGTAGAGAGGAACTTGCTCCGACCAGGAGAGAGAGAGTGATCATCTTGGGGCACAAGTTCTCGGGTTCTCGACTGCTCCAAAGCCCCAGCGCCACTCATTCGCTTGTGAGCAGCCGTCAGTGTCGCGTGTGCCAGCAGCGAGATTAAATCGAAATAAATATAGAAAAATATCTAGCAGTGTACGTGAGTGTGTGTGTCTGTGAGTTGGGGGTGAAAATAGTGCAAATAACGCAAGCGAAACAAAATAATTGAATATCGTGCAAAATATCATTTTCAAGTGCAATAAGCTGCAGACCAAAACAAAACCAAGAAAAATACTCGAAATTAAATTAAAAATGTCTTTCTTTTTTTGAACTTACTTTTTACAGCCAACAGATAAACTGAACTAAAACTGTGCTTAATCAGAGAGAACTGTTTCCTAAAAACTGTTTAAACTGTGAAAAGTGTCAACACGCTTAACAAGACTACAAAAAAAAATTATAAAAAGAAAACCGAGTGAAAATCAAATTAAATCGCAAGAGATTTTCAGCAAGTGCAACGGTAACAACGTATAATGGCACCAACAATCACTGACAATTGCGAATTTGAATGTGCTACTGTTGAGGCGACAACAACAACAACAACAACGACGACGATTAGCGGCGATAATTTCGATAACATCGATAACTTCGCCAGCAGCGGCAGCGATAGCATCGAACAATCGAATGAATTGCATTTGAGCGGTGAGCAGCAGGATCAGGATGTCCAGGAGCAGCAGCAGCAGCAGATGCCATGGGAGGCACCTGGAAAACAGGGGCTCTACGATCCCCAGAATGAGCATGAGGCCTGCGGAGTCGGTTTCATCGTGGCCATCGATGGCAAGCGCTCTCACAAGGTAAGGATCAAGGATCATAAAGTTTTCTTAAGTTTACTTTAATTAAAAATCTATTTCCCCTAAGTAGGACGAAAAGGAAATTATTTTATTATATATTTTTAATATATGCATGATACTTATTTATAAATTTATACATAAAATATAAACTTCTCGACAAGAGATATTTATTCTTAAATTTTTAGAAAATCTATGTAATTTATAGAGATTAAATTAAAGTCTTTTCAGTGCTAATAAACACCTTATTTTAAAGAATTTATGTTAGTTGAAATCTACACTATTTTAACCAATTATTTAGGTGTTATATTCCAGTCTCTGATCCAATTCTTCATCTATTCCTTGTACAGATTCTACGTGATGCCCAGACCTTGTCAGAACGGATGAATCATCGCGGCGCCTGCGCCTGCGACAATGACACTGGCGATGGCGCTGGCGTCTTGGCTTCCATTCCTCACGGACTCTATGTCAAGGCTCTGTAAGTTCTACCGATAAGTGCCGGTACATATGTACTCAAAATATATACAGACACGCTATATATGCATGCAACCGTGCTTATTTATGCCGGTTCCTCTGGCGCCGTCGCCATTGATGAACGAACCGCTTACACGGGACCTGTCTGCGGGTTGGACCCAGTGCCAGTGGTGACGCTGGGGGGAGCAGCGAGACGATATCGGTGCGATCTCGTGCGCGAAATGCGAAAATAGCTCAAAGCTGCCGTGTCGTTTGTCGCTGTCTATCAGTTGAGATTTACACTCTAGGAGGAAGGGTATATTCCACTAGGGAAGAAGCTTGTTCAGAGAGAATTCTTAACTGATTTGCAGAGAATTTTCTTATGTAAACTCATGAAAGAAAGAAAATAATCAGACTAAAAGTTGAACTATTTTAGAATATTTCAAATTGCAGATTATTTAATTATATAAAGTATATATTTTTAACTTATTAGAGAAAATAACACGATTCTTTAATTATTTAAAAATATTCCTTATTAATTGACTCAAAATGTTAGATAGATTGAAAAGCGTTTTAATTGCCAAAATAATACTTAGTGACTTTGAACACTTTATAATATAACCTTTATAACCTTAGAAAACCATATAAACTAAAAAAAATAAAGGATAGTAAGCCATGTAAAACAATTCAGTGATAGGGTCAGTACTCAAAAGTTTTTAAAACCTCAAAATACCTCATCCGATTCAGATGTATACACACGACACAAAAGTTGCCTTAACAAAAATTGTTCAAAATTCAAAAACAGTTTCCTTATACAAATTGATCTACAATGTAACGAATATATATTTGATAAATTTTGATACATTTTATATTTTTATAAAAAAAAAAATTAACTTTCAACAAAAACGAAAATTTTACAAATTGACACTGTTCAGGGACATTTTACTTATAGCCGTATAAAGACATAATTAGAGGACTAGTATGAGAAGAACGACGACTAGCTTGAATTAAAAAATAACTAAATGAATTTAGGCAACCAAATTGGGATGCGGAATATATAAATCAATTCATCTGCTCCATCATCTTTAAAGGCCACTTGAGTAAGTTCCACATTGCATTTCGACTCAATAGAAACACGTAACAATTTCCACAGAGATATATTGCTACTGAATGCAACAATGTGTGAATGAGAATGCTTTCTTAATATACATAAATTATTTATTAAACCAGACAGATGTTGTACTTGTTTGCATCCCAGAGAGAGGGCATTATGCATTTGCATTTTGCCTTTTTCCCTGATAAATGGCTATCCTTCATTGGCTAAATCTCAATGTCAAAAATAGTCTGTCGAAATGAGGCACATCCACCAGATCCGTTGAGATATATCCTCACCGAGATGTAGCCCCCATGGTCATGTACATATAGTACTGTATATATGTCTGATCATGAGAGTATTTTGCTAAAACCTACAACATCTGCTCTCTGCTCCCGACCAACGACCGACGAAATTCTGTTTTCTGTTTATTTTACTTATTTTGTCAGCATTTTGGCACGGTTCTTGTTTTCGTCACGCTTTGCCCAGAATCGGTATTTACATTCGTATATATGATATATAAAGCAAACCTACTATACATATTATATAGACTATATATGGGATAAAATGATTTTTTTAGCCAAAGTGATGTGTAGGGTAGGGGCACTGAGGACAGACATTTGCAGGCAATTACTTTACTCAAATTATTCCATTCCACAATATTATATTATATTATTTAGCTTGACTATGCGAAATGGAAAAACACGGCAAGGTCCCCACTTGTAGCCTCACTGACCAGATGTTGTGCATAGTAATGAGGGTTTAGTCCGTTTAGAATCAGAAGAACAATTTGGGAATTTCACCAATTGGAGGGCACTTCATGTTAATATGTACTTGTGCTTACTAGTTAAAATTATTAAAATGATTAAGTGGGTTTTATAGCTATAATAGAGGCTTTATTAACCCAATTTCCAGCAGAATTGGCAAGCTCAATTAATATTTATAAAATTATTAAAATCATAGTTTGCTTGACAAGTTTAATAGGGTTAACAGGTTTAAATCACTTAAATCAAAGTCAAACATGGTAAAGATTTCAATGAATTTAAGTTCAATTACATTGACCTTTATTTAATATTTTATATTTGAGCATAAAAAACTATGTTGCCAGGGGGATATTTATAAATATTTGGTTCAGTTTTCAATAAATGTTTATTGAAATGGCTTCTAGGTTTAAATTGAAACAAACCTTGGCTTCTCACTCCATGGAAAGCGTATTTCCCGAATGCCAGCTGATAAAAACGACACTGTCCAATGGATTTACAACTCAATGTGCTAATCAATGGCGCGAATTTGCAACTATTTGCTATGTAATTAGTGGCCCAGCTGTCAGAATCTATATAATATATATACAATAGAGGCGATAGATGGATGTGCCAACTGGTTGGCGGCTATTAAAATGCGTAATGTCGCGCGACAGACCATAAATCTAGTTTAATTAGTGTCTGGCCCTAGGGTTTAATTGATTTGCCCGACAATATTTCGGGTATTCTCAGAAATTCTCTGATATTCTGGAGAGTAGCATGTGAATTATGAAACACTTTGCATGCTTAATCACAAAGAGCATGAAATTCCCTCTAGACATGCACACGTGCCAAGTGACGGAGGAGACAACTGACGACCAGATTGCGATCTGAGAGCAACAAGTCGCCGGCGCCGCAGAATGCCAAGTTCAAGGACCGCCTCAAGTCTTGGACTAATTGCGAAATTATGGCAAAACACTTAGCCGGTCAGCTCGTCAGGCCGTCCACCGGATCTCGAGTGGAATGCTGCGACGTAATAAGAACAAGCTTCTCGGTTACAGTACGAGCTCAGTTGCACAGGGAGAAAAAGAGTAGTACTTCTAAAATAATAAGCAGAGAAAGAAATATTGAATATTCTCTTGGAGAATTTCAGAACTAAATTAGGGTAATATATAGTACTAGCTGACCCGGCAGACTTCGTACTGCCTCATCGATAAGAGGGCACTTCTGAATACATCAAGGTTCTGGCAAAATCATCTTCCTGGCATAAGGTGAAGAAGGCAGTCAGAGTTGTCGCTGGCCGATTCAGGACTCTTTCTTGCACATTTTTTTCTGTGAAATAGACACGTTGACCATTCTCCAAATGGACTGCCACGTTTCTCTGTGGCATATTGTGGTTGAACGCATAAGAAATAAGTCACATTGAAATGGTATCCATCGGCACCATCCCAGAAGATTAGTGGATACTGCAAAGCATCGTAACAACGGTGAGTTTCTGCGACGTTTACCAATCGATCGTTTCGTCGATGGAGAACAATATCTCGAGGTTGAAACTGATCCCCGGCTATGACAATTGCCACTTCGTCTATAGTTGGAGCATTATATCTCCTGATATGTTCTCCAGCAGGCGTTTTGTCTGCATGAATGACAATTTTATGGGTATCCGAAGGCATCATATCGATTGCTGTTTGAATAAACGCACCAAATTGTTCCGTTCGTGAAAAAGATTCTGTAGCTGCGAAATAATTGGCCTCTTCAGCGATTTATTGATTCCATAACGTGCATCTACTTCATCTCCATCATCACCAATGAAGTACATTTGAAGAAATTTGTGTTCGCTGTCTTGGAACGGAAGCAGGGAACCGGCTTTATGATAGATTTGTCCTTTGATTTTAAAAGTTGGCATGAATTGCGCAGTTATAATTTCCGCACCAAATGACGTCATTTGAAAGCAAGAGTTGTATTTCCTAATGTTCGACAGGAAATGCTTCGATTCAGCAGTAGATCCAGCGAATAGAGAGTGCAGAGGCTCTGGTGGTGCTTCAAGTTGAGGCAATTTCACTTTCCCGGAAGCGCAACACAATCCTTTTGGTTCGTTTTTGAATTTGAGAGCCTGACAGTATATGCAGACCTGATGCATCTGGCCAATAACGACATTGCGATTCGAGCTATAATCAACAGTTGGATTATATCTGAATGCAAGACGATTGTATTGCAGGGTTTGATCTGCTTCAAGCTGTAAACGCGCTTCAGTTACCCTTGCCCTGTCGCGATCATTATTTTGAGAGTGAATCAAATCGATTGCTGCAGAACGCGACTGCCTAACTCTCAATCGTTTTCTCTCAAGCCTATCTGCTCGTCTTTCTGCTGATTCCTCTATGTGCATTTGCATTGCTCTCTGCCGCTCAGTCTCTCGGAAGGAGGCCCGTTCTTCGTCAGTCATATTCGTAATCTTACGTCTTTTTGCTTCTGTATTGCGAATACAACGACCCAATCTCGACTTTTTTGGTGGCATGACTTCGTTTCTTACTGAACCTGAACAAAAAATAAAATTTGTATCTCCAATTTCTTCTTTCAATATGTTTTTAATGTTTGACAGGAAATGCTTTGATTTGCTTGTAGAGGGCGCAGTAGTAGGGGCACGGGGAAACGCTAAAAAAATAGATATATTCGCAGCCGCAGATAAGCTATCAACATCAAAAGTAGTCAATAACCGAGCTGGAACCTCAACGCATGTTCTCTAAAAATTTGGGCATAAACGGTTCAGAACTTTTCAAGTTTCTTCTTTCAATATGTTTTGAATGTTTGACAGGAAATGCTTTGATTCAGCTGGCTGCCTGTAGATGGCGCAGCAGTAGGGTCACTTGGAAACGCTAAGGGTGGACTACCCCTAACATTTAGGGGGATGAAAAATAGATGTTGGCCTATTCTCATAGATACCGGATAAGCACAAAAAATTTCATCAAAATCGGTCAAGCCGTTTCGGAGGAGTAAGGGCACGAAAACTGTGACACGAGAATTTTATATATTAGATTTATAGTAGTATTTCTTAATTAATAAAACTTATTAATAGTATTTGATATAAATCGAGTTTTCAGAAGAGAAATACAGCAGATATTTTATGTTTTATACTGATCCTACTTAAGCATTAGCAGAAAATAGTAGAGATTACATTGTATATACTTGATTTTTATATAAGAAACTCACCCAAACTATTTCTCTCTCTGTTCGAATGCATATTTGAATGGCAAGTAAAAACAGGTGGTTGTCAGACGATTTCAGTGGATCGGTGGGGTATATGTGGGGTGGGTTATAAGTTGTGAGGGCTGGACCGCTGACAGCTTCTCGAGAGACGCTGATAAGGTGAGACTTGTGGATGAATGAACGACTCGAATAACTGAACCGGGCGAGTCGGATTCAATTGCAGTAAATGGAAACCTGACGATGAGCGATTTAATGGCGCATTACTATAGACATTTTAGGAGGGGAGGGAGGGGAATTTATTCAACTAGTGCGACATAGCCGTGACCCAATCCAATCAATCGAGATAGAATCTCTATTATAAGGAAGCTGAAAACACTTAAGTAATACTTGTCTCATCTTTATATCCAAGTTAATCTTTGTTTTCTTCTCCAATTTCAGTGCCAAGCAGGGAGTAACCTTGCCGGATTTGGGTGACTATGCCACGGGCATCTTTTACCTGGATGAGGCCCAGCATGCTGCCGCCGAGAAGGAGTTCAATGAGCTGGCCAAGACACTGGGCTTGGAGGTGATTGCCTGGCGCACTGTGCCGGCCAATCAGGCAGCCATCGGTGTGGTGGCCCGCAAGTCGGAGCCTCTGTCACGTCAGGTGTTTGTCCGTCGTCCCGAGGGCAGCGATGAGAAGACCTTCCAGCGGCAGGTGTTCGTCCTGAGGAAGAGGGCCAGCCACGAGCTGATCAAACCCGGACGACGCTTCTACATCTGCTCGATGTCCGATCGCACGGTGGTGTACAAGGGTTTGTTCACCTCGGACCAGTTGTGGGACTACTACACGGATCTCAAGAATCCCGAGTTCGAGACGTACCTGGCCCTGGTCCACACGCGCTTCTCCACCAACACCTTCCCCAGCTGGGAACGGGCCCATCCTCTCAGGGTGCTCGCCCACAACGGTGAGATCAACACTCTCCGGGGAAATGTTAACCTGATGAAGGCGCGCGAGGGTGTGATGCAGTCGGATCTGTTTGGGGATCAGCTGAAGAAGCTCTATCCCGTGGTGGAGCCGAATCTCTCGGACTCGGGCAGCTTTGACTGCGTGCTCGAGTTCATCACCATGGCCAGTGAGCGATCGCTGCCGGAGTCGGTGATGACCATGGTGCCGGAGGCGTGGCAGAATGACAAGACTATGCCGCAGGAGAAGCGTGACTTCTACCAGTGGGCCGCCTGTGTGATGGAACCCTGGGATGGTCCGGCTCTCATCAGCTTCACCGATGGCCGCTACATTGGGGCCGTTCTCGATCGCAATGGACTGCGTCCCTCACGCTTCTACGTGACCAAGGAGAACGTGCTGGTCATGGCCTCCGAGGTGGGCGTCTACGATGTGGATCCTGCGCAGGTCACTCTGAAGAGTCGCTTGAAGCCGGGCAGGATGTTGCTGGTGGACACCAAGGAGCAGAAGCTCATTCAGGACATTGAACTGAAGGCCACGATCTCCAAGTCGAGGCCCCACTCTGAGTGGCTGCAGCAAAAGGTGGGCTATGAGGACTTAAATAGTGAAGGTCTATTGGATTACTTGGATATTAAATTATGGAAAAATATAAGTAATGTTTTTAGGTCAATAAAATTGCATTTTTTCTTTGAATTTTGTATTACTTTATAAATGAAAGTATACATTTATTTTGAGGAATATAAATAATTTCAAAATACATACCCTTAATATTTTATGACAATTTTCTTATATTTTTAAACACATTCCTTAGAAATGTATTCAATTAGATTTTTGTTAAATTGTTAAAAAATTCTCAAAATATTTTCCTTTATTTAAATGAAGTTCTTTAAGATATGGTGTAGATAACGTTGATTTGATTTCATTTATATAAGAAATTTGATTTGTTTTTATATAATTTCTAAAATATTTCACATTCTTTTTAAGGAAACTATTTTAAAAGTATTATAATCTGCAAGACACTACTCTTAGAATTTAATATCCAACAAATCCAACTTATTGTACAATACAAATCAGGCTCACCGGCTCGATTCCCACTACTAATCATCTCGAGAGACACTCAACTCATCTCCAGACACGAAATTTTGGCAACCCAAACAATCAAAAATCGAATAATCTAATAATATATATGTATCTGGTCTAAATTCGTCCATTCTCTCTCATGCTACCCCCTAATCTGAATCTCAAATATGTGTGTGTTTGTTGTGGAACTGATGCAGATGGTGAGTTAATAAACCCAGAGGTTGCCCTAGGTCCTCTACCCCCCAAGATGTAGTCCGTAGATCTGCGTTCCGTTATTGCCTCCCCCGTTGCGTTCCATTATGCATGCTCTTTGGTTGCTTTTTGCTCTTAAATCCTCTCGTGAAACCCACTAATCGCTGTCTTGTGCTCTTGAACAGATCACCCTGGATGAGATTCGCAATGCGAATGTGCTGAACACTCCGCAGGTGGATGACCTGGCAAAGCTGCCTGCCTCCCAGAGGGGCATCTTTGATCCACGCCTCTCCCTGTTCGGTTACACCACGGAGACGGTCAACATGCTGCTCATTCCCATGTTCAAGAACAAGTAAGTGGTGTTAGGAGATATCTCATTCATTTTACTCATCCTTATAATCCCCTTTTGCAGGAAGGAAGCCCTCGGCTCCATGGGCAACGATGCTCCGCTGGCCTGTCTCTCCACCTTCCAGCCGATTCCGTACGAGTACTTCAAGCAGCTGTTCGCCCAGGTGACCAATCCGCCCATCGATCCATTCCGCGAGAAGGTGGTCATGTCGATGCAGTGCCCCCTTGGACCGGAGGCCAATCTGCTGCAGCCATCGGCACAGCAGGTGCACCGAATTTGGCTAACCAATCCCATACTGAGCATTCCAGACACCCAGCTGCTCAAGCGGAACACGCACCGCGGCTGGCGGACCAAGGTCCTGGACATCACATTCCAGTACAACGACGGCGTCCAGGGTTACCTGGATTGCATCGATCGTGTGTGCCGCGAGGGCGTTTCGGCAGCTCAGGCGGGCTACCAACTGCTGGTGATCTCCGATCGTGGAGCTGGAATCGGTGGCAAGGTGGCCGTGTCCGCTCTGTTGGCACTGGGAGCCCTGCATCATCATCTGATCGAGACTTTGCAGCGCATGAAGGTGGGCATTGTGGTGGAGACGGCAGAGGCCCGTGAAGTGCACCACATTTGCGTGCTCCTCGGCTACGGAGCGGATGCTATCTGTCCATATCTGGCCTTCGAATTGGCCCAGGCTCTGCGAGATGATGGAGTAATTGGTCCGGAGGTCAGTGACAAACAGATCTACGCCGCCTACGCCCAGGCCATTGATACAGGCATTGCCAAGGTAATGGCCAAGATGGGCATCAGCACACTGCAGTCCTACAAGAGTGCCCAGATCTTCGAGGCTGTTGGATTGGGCACCGATCTCGTGGCCAAGTGCTTCCGCGGAACCCAAAGTCGCATTGGTGGCGTCACCCTGGAGATTCTGGCCAAGGAGGGCCTCGAGCGCTATCAGCTCACCTATGGCAAGACCTCGCCGGACACCCGCATCCTGCGGAATCCGGGACAATACCACTGGCGTCACGGAGGCGAGGCTCACATCAACGAGCCCTCCTCCATTGGCAGCCTGCAGGAGGCGGCGGTCAATAAGAACCTTGATGCATTTGAGGCCTTCAAGAAGACCACGTTGGAGAGTGTGCGCCGGTGTGCGCTGCGTGGACAGCTCGATTTCGTCAATGATCGTCAGAAGATCGATCTATCTGAGGTGGAGCCCGCCAGCGAGATTGTCAAGCGGTAGGTGGTACTGGAAGTTATAGAAATCTATAATTAATTACTTACAAATCTTACAGCTTTGCCACTGGTGCCATGAGCTTTGGCAGCATTTCCCTGGAGGCCCATCAAACTCTGTCCATTACCATGAATCGCATTGGCGGCAAGAGCAACACCGGTGAAGGTGGCGAGGATTCGGATCGTTATTTGAGTAAGTTCAATGTAAAATCTTAAGATGATTGTGTTTCCTAACTAACACTTCTCTTCTCTGCAGATCAGGATCCCAATAATAGCCGCCGTTCGGCCATCAAGCAAGTGGCTTCCGGTCGCTTTGGCGTGACAGCCTCTTACCTGGCCAACGCCGATGATCTGCAGATCAAGATGGCCCAAGGAGCAAAGCCGGGCGAGGGTGGCGAGTTGCCGGGTTACAAGGTGACCAAGGATATTGCCAAGACCCGAAAGTCGGTGCCTGGAGTGGGTTTAATCTCTCCACCGCCGCATCATGACATCTACTCCATTGAAGATTTGGCTGAGCTGATCTACGACTTGAAGTGCTCCAATCCTAATGCACGCATCAGCGTGAAGCTGGTGTCCGAAGTGGGCGTTGGTGTTGTGGCCTCCGGTGTAGCCAAGGTGCGTTTGAACAACAATCATCCATTGATTACTCCTCTCTATAATCATTATCTATTCCAGGGCAAAGCCGAGCACATTGTTATTTCGGGACATGATGGAGGAACCGGCGCCAGCTCATGGACAGGCATCAAGAATGCCGGATTACCCTGGGAGCTGGGCGTAGCCGAGACGCATCAAGTACTCGTGCTAAACAATCTGCGATCACGGTAAGTTTCCGACCAGGAGAAAGCCGGCTTCAGAGCCATTCCCGCTCTCTCCTCTTGTGTTGTTACTAATCATGAACCGATACATTACCGAAGTGCCTGGTGGTTATCCAGATGACAGCGTTGGAAAACCTGTTCAGAACATGTATTCCCAAAATGCAGAGATCCATTGATCATCGGAAAGTTGTTGGGCTGATCCCCCGTAAACACAACCCCATTGAAACTCCTCCTCCGTACATGTGGCCAGTGGGCGGTGTGGGCAGGAGGACGATGACACGGCGAATGGGCGAAGGATGGCGAATCAAGTCAGGCAGAAGAGAAGCCTGCTTAAGGAACGGATCCATATGAAATGGGGCCTCTTAGTTCATTAATCTTGTGCCCAGAACTGATCCTCTGAAATGGAAAGGAGTTCTTATGAAAGAAGAAATGCATCTAAAGTCAATTGGCACTCAAAAAACCCATGGATAAACCCCTTAAAATCAGAAAGAATTCAAGAGATACTGTAATTATTGATTTCCATATCCTGAAGTGATGAAATCAAGGATGAAATTCCCGATTTAAGCCACTTTCCCAGCCAGCAGAAAAACGATACACGATTCAATCGATCCGAAATCCACATCCCAACTCCAGTCCACTCGCTCTACTCCACTCCACTCACTTGCTCACTCGATCACGTTCGTCGCGCTGTGCTCCATTCGTAATTTCTTCTCATTACATTGAACTTTCGGCGGATCTTGAGTTTGCTAACATTGCCTTCCTTTTTATGTCGTGTCTTCCCCCACTCTAAAACGGTCTGGATTTGATGGATGATTATGCTACCTCCTGGATGATTCTACAACAGTGTGATTGTACAAGCCGATGGACAGCTGCGCACAGGATTCGATGTTGTGGTGGCTGCTTTATTGGGTGCCGATGAGTTTGGTTTCAGTACAGCTCCATTGATAGTTATGGGTAAGTTTTAGATACTTGATTATAAAAATCTTATTTAAATACAATTTTTATTTTCTTTATTAAAGGCTGCACAATGATGCGCAAGTGTCACTTGAACACCTGTCCGGTGGGCATTGCCACCCAGGATCCAGTGCTGCGCAAGAAATTCACTGGCAAGCCAGAGCACGTGATTAACTTCTTCTTCATGTTGGCCGAAGATGTAAGGCTTTATAACTAAACTATCCTTAATTATTTATACTCACCTCTCTTTTGCTTTTTAGATCCGTAAAATCATGGCCGGTTTGGGCATTCGCAAGTTCCAGGATCTGATTGGTCGCACCGATCTCCTGCGCATCGCTAGTCAGCGCGATGCCAAGGCCAGTAACTTGGACTTGAAGCTGCTCCTGCAACCAGCTTTGGAACTGCGTCCCGGCACCAACATTGTAGGTGGCTCTGTCAAGCAGGACTTCCAGCTGGAGAAGCGTTCGGACAACCAACTGATTGCCAAAGCTCAGCAGATCTTTAATGGATCCGATGACAACGTCACCGTCAAAATGCGCATCCATAACGAGGAGAGAGCCTTTGGTTCTACTCTCAGCTACCATATTGCATGGTAGGTTTGGAATTTCAAGTATTATTTACAGATAATCCTTATATACCCTTCCAGTAAATATGGCGAGGCTGGTCTCCCCGCTGGCAAGAGCATCGACATCTTCCTGGAGGGATCCGCTGGTCAGAGCTTCTGCGCCTTCTTGGCCCGTGGCGTTAATGTAACTCTGAAGGGAGATGCCAACGATTATGTGGGCAAGGGTCTGTGCGGTGGTAATGTGGTCATCACACCACCAGACACTGCTCCCTTCGAATCGCATCTGAACGTCATCGTGGGCAATGTCTGCCTGTATGGAGCCACTGAGGGAACAGCTTACTTCCGTGGTATTGCCGCCGAGCGCTTCTGCGTGCGCAACTCCGGAGTCACGGCTGTGGTGGAGGGTGTAGGCGACCACGGATGCGAGTACATGACTGGAGGACTGGTGGTGATCCTGGGTCTCACAGGCCGCAACTTTGCCGCCGGCATGTCTGGTGGAATTGCCTACGTATACGATATTGATGGCTCCTTCAAGCCCAAGGTTAATCCGGAGAGTGTGGAGTTGCTGCCACTGGAGATTAGCAAGGATGTAGAGCTGGTGAAGCAACTGCTGGCCGACTTCATTGAGAAAACCGGTTCAAAGGTGGCCAAGGAGCTGCTTGATAACTGGGCCGTGGCACAGTCGAAGTTCGTTAAGGTCTTCCCGTACGAGTACCAGAAGGCTCTCCAGGATATGGCCGAGCAGGAGGCGGCTGAACAGCCTCTGAAGCAATCCGCCATCGAGAATGGAAATGGCAAGCACGAGCCGCACATCAAGGACATCGAGGAGGCCATCCAGGACGTAGCCCTTGAGCAGAAGCGCGCCGACCGCGTGCTGGACAAGACCCGTGGCTTCGTCAAGTACAAGAGGGAATCAGCTCCTTACCGCGATGCCGGAGAGCGACAGAAGGACTGGGACGAGGTCTACAACTTCCCGCATGTGCGCAAGAACCTGAAGGTTCAAGCCGCTCGCTGCATGGAGTGCGGAGTTCCTTTCTGTCAGTCCAACTCCACGGGCTGCCCACTAGGCAACATCATTCCCAAGTGGAACGACCTTGTCTTCCACGGCGAGTGGCAGGAGGCACTGCGCCAGCTGCTGCAAACCAACAACTTCCCGGAGTTCACCGGCCGCGTCTGTCCCGCTCCCTGTGAGGGCTCCTGTGTCCTGGGAATCTCGGAACCGGCTGTGACGATCAAGAACATCGAATGCGCCATCATCGATCATGCCTTCGAGCAGGGCTGGATAAAGGCGGAGATTCCTGAAGTGCGCACCGGCAAGCGGGTAGCCATTGTGGGCTCCGGACCCTCGGGTCTGGCTGCCTCTCAGCAGCTGAACCGCGCCGGTCACTTTGTCACCGTCTTCGAGCGCAATGATCGCGTCGGCGGACTGCTGCAGTACGGCATTCCTACAATGAAGCTATCCAAGGATGTGGTCAAGCGTCGAGTGGATCTGATGGCCGACGAGGGCATTGAGTTCCGCACCAATGTCCATGTGGGCAAGGACCTGAAGGCGGAGCAGCTGCTGCAGGAGTACGATGCCGTCCTCCTAACCACGGGCTCCACATGGCCCCGTGACCTGCCGCTGGCCAACCGTGACCTGAAGGGCATCCACTTCGCCATGGAGTTCCTGGAGGCGCAGCAAAAGAAGCAGCTGGGCGGCAAGCAGGACATCATCTCGGCGGCGGGCAAGGATGTGATCATTATCGGTGGCGGAGACACCGGCTGCGATTGTATTGCCACCTCGCTGCGTCAGGGTGCTAAGAGCATCACCACATTCGAAATTCTGCCGGAGCCCCCACAGAAGCGTGCCGATGACAACCCCTGGCCGCAGTGGCCAAAGGTCTTCCGCGTTGACTACGGCCACGAGGAGGTGAAACTGAAGTGGGGCAAGGATCCGCGCCAGTACTGCACCACCACCAAGGAGTTTGTTGGCGAAAATGGTACCATCAAGGGCGTGAATACCGTCGAGGTGGAATGGACCAAGACGGAGACGGGACAATGGCGCATGGCAGAGGTGGCTGGCTCGGAGAAGTACTTCCCCGCTGACCTCATACTGCTGGCCATGGGCTTCCTGGGGCCGGAGAAGACAGTGCCTGGCGAACTGGGCCTGGAGCTGGATCCGCGTGGCAATGTTAAGGCCTGCAATGGACAGTATGGCACCTCCAACTCCAAAGTGTTTGCCGCGGGTGGTAAGTCTGAAGAACTGTCTATAATATATTATCTAAAATGTGTTTTGAGTATTCTTAAAGACAGGATAAACTATAAGAAGTCCCCATTACTCACCTCTTTTAACATTTCTACATTCACAGATTGCCGGCGTGGCCAGTCGCTGGTCGTGTGGGCCATCACCGAAGGTCGTCAGGCAGCTCGCCAGGTGGATTCCTATCTAACTGGTCGCCCCAGCGGGCTGCCAGGACCAGGCGGCGTCATTGCGACGTCCTAAGCTGGAAAGCAGCAAGAGCAACAGCATCTAATGTCAAGTTTTCTGTGCGTGCATCGTCCTTAGCCTATAGAGCGATATTCTTTACCGATTTGCAATTTGTGATTTTTATTTTCGCGATTTTAGTTTAGTTTACACACTAAAAAAGAAAAAGACTTGAGTTTTTTTACACACCAAAAACCAAAAACAAAACGAAACACGTTTCATTTACTTAGTTTTATTTTCATCGCAAAGCTGGCTGGGAACTGAATTGAGTTATTTGTGGTTCGTCGAGACGATGATGCCCTCCATAGGATGAAGCTGCGGCAGATGTCAATTAAGAGTGCGAGATGCTGATCGAATACTTATATTAATATATCTTAATGGAAATCGAATATCCAACAAAAACCTAAGGACAATAACTAGAAATTTACCGTTTATCGTTAAACAAGAAAATATTTAGAAAATGCATTTTATTTCAATGTTGTTCGACTTGTGTTGCCTGTTCTTTGAAAACCATAAAATGTGACAAATTGGTATGCTGATCTCCACCCTCCTATATACATATACACACTATATAATGCGTATATACTATATATATATATGCAGACAGACACAAAATGTATTAAACTCTCGGCCAATATCGTAACGCATTTTTTTAGATGTTGTTTGTGTGTTTTGAACTGCATTCGACCGTTAACCGCAGAAGTACCTAAGTGGCTATTGTTAAATCAGAATGTGCTCTTTATGTGCAGTTATAGGTGTTGAATACAACAAAAAATACCACTATTTATACAAAACAAATATATTTAATCCCAACTGTATACCCTTATACATACATACATCAACTATATATGAATATATTTATGTGCAAGCATTTGATGAAATAAATATTCAAACTATTACAAGGCATATCTTTGAAGTTTGTTTTTTATTTTTAAAAAGGAGAATAGAAATTGATGTCTAAACAGAAGTAACGGAAATAATTCAAACTTCGAGCTCAAGTTTCAATGTTGTAAAATGAAGATTTTTCAACGGTATTCGATACGATATTTAAAGTTATCGATAGTTATCGTCTGTTCAAAATAGTGTCGTTATTTTTAGAAGTTGTACATATCTTAAATTCATTTAATAAAATTACAATAAATAAAACTTGCTCAAAGTAAATGAAAATATGATGAACAATTATATTATTTCCTTATTTCACAAGCAATTATATATTCTTTATATGACCGAAGATTACAATACCCTGCCAGGATATAAGAATATGAATACTAAACTATAAACGAAAAGAAACGATCGTTTGTATGGCACCTATATGATATAGAGGTCAGATTTTCATACAATTTTACACAAAATCGTAAAATAATATAAAATGAATATATCTCAAATTTGGTCAAATTCTGTTGAAAACTGAAAAAGTTATAATTTTAAATTTCTTGAGCGTTCCTATGGGAGCTATATGATATAGTAGTCCGGTTTTCATAAAATTTTACACAAAATTGTAGAATAGTATGAAATGGCTATAATTTAAATTTGATGAAAATCAGTTGAAAACTAATGAAGTTATAATTTTTTTTTATAATTGTATTTATTTCCCGATCGTTCCTATTAGGAGCTATATGATTTATATATTTATTATTTCCCGATCGTTCCTATTGGGAGCTACATGATGTAGTAGTCCGATTTTCAAAAAATGTTACAGAAAATTGTTGATCAAATTCCTTTGAAATCTGAAAATGTTATAATTTTTTTTTTGTAAAAATTTTACGATCATTCCTATGGCAGCTATATGATATAGTCGTCCGATCCGGCCCGTTCCGACTTAAATACGAGTGAGAGTATATAGAAGGCTAACTACAAAGTTTCATTCAGATAGCTTTAAAACTGAGAGACTAGTTTGCGTAGAAACGGACAGATGAACATGGCTAGATCGACTCGACTTTTGATGCTAATCAAGAATATATATACTTTATATGGTCGAAGGCGCCTCCTTTACTGCGTTGCAAACTTCTGACTGAAATTATAATACCCTGCAAAGGTATTATAACTTCCTTAAAAGTTCACAAATACTACCATTTCCTAAACTGCAATAAATTAATTAAAACACTTAATAGGCCTTTTCAATTAATTGCAAATATTTTTATTATGCTGACAATTCTCACATACACTTGCCGTAGTTTCGTCACTTAAATTCAATTATTCGCCCTCCATTTGATGTTGTAAACATTTTGTAATCGTTAATACGTATATGCCTGTGTTGCGGTTCGAATTTAAAATTAGATAAATTTAAGAATTTTGGAATTATTTATTGGCTGCGTTGGCGCAGTATGTTAGTTTATCATTCATTCGTTTACATCGTTTATATTTAACATAAGAGAAACAGAATCCATCAGTATCATCCGTTGCTTCTGCACACTTAAGGGCTAGGGGCTAAAGGCTAAAGCATATATATGCGAAATGAAAGTACAAAATACATATGGGGAAGGCTAGCAGGATGCCTAACTAAAGATCTAGCTCGCTCCGCCTGGATGCTTCCCGCAGACTTGCGTTTTCAGTTTTTGATTGTGGTCTACAAAATATACAGCAGTATTGTATATCTTATCAATGTTATAAATAAATGTAAATTGCAAAGTGGCGTCCGCCCCGGCTTTGCGTCTGACTTAAGCCTTAAATGTTTTTGTTTATATGAACTTAAGGTCTAAGAACTTAATTATCTGCTGCACTTGGCTGTGTGTGTGGTGTGTGTGTGTGAAAATGTACAAGGCAAAGAGCAATACAAAATTATCATTATTAAATTAAGATTACGAATTATGCGTAGTGTTTGTATGTAAAGTAAAAATGTACAATTGTTGCTATTCATATGAAATATATAAAACAAGCTAGCGCGTTCTCTCCTTAAAGGAAGAATCCTTTAGTCCGCAAATGCCGCGTGTATGTGTCATGCAAGATTGCCATAACTTTCGCCTACACATATCCTTGAGTCTAGAGTGTGATCGATGTCCTTTTTCTCCTGATCTTTGCATATTTACCAAAGTTTTTATGGGGCTTCAATTTTGTGGCACTCGGCCGCTTTTCCCATTTGGTCAGCGGGGGAAAAGCGACAGGTACCATGTGCTGAACTGTGCAAAAATAGTATCATCAACATGTTTTCAAACCGAGAAACGTGTTCACGAGACCACTTTTTAATGCCAACGACTAAGGTTTAGTTTTACTTTTACGTTTCTTGTTCATGTTCTCACGTCTTCAAAGTGCCATATAAATCTGGTTTCATATATGAGTATATAAATAGGTGTTATTATGACTGATTGTTATGGGTGAAGAGGGAAACGTTGCGTGCTTACAATTAGGTGAGGTCTGCTCGTAGGTGCACATATGACTATAGATATAATATGATATAGCTTGCACTACCATAAGATCAATGATGTTCTAAAATCAAAGTAAATATACAAAGCATACAAAGGATAAAATGTCTCTCGAACTTGGCTTAGGTCAAAAATGTACATAGTGTATGTGTGTGAAGAAGGGTTCAGTTAGTGAGTCGGTATGGCTGTCCTACAGAACGCAAAGTTATGACAAAAGTACACAAAATGAATCGAACATACGCTAGATTTGCCGAGTAGGTAACTTTTTAAACCTTAAACTTAAGCCTAAGCGTACAGCGTGCACTCGATATAGCTCGTGGGCACAAATCCCTCGTCCCAGCCATTCGAGTTATTCGCCCGCCGCACCCGCGTCCATCCATCGCCCTGATCGATCTCAATCACCTGCAGCTCCTCGCCCTCGTTCATGGGTATGCTGCCCTCGCTGGAGGCTGTTTTAAAAGAAATATAATATTAATTATTATTAATTAAAGGGTTCTTCACAACTCACCTTCAAAGGGATACAGGGCTCGACATGTACCCAGTGGATTCAGTGTCTCCACTTCCGTTTCGTAGTAGGTATCCTCGCCGATGGCATTCTCATTGGCACTGCCCTGTCCGGAGCCAGGCAGCGATGTGTGTGAAGTTCCGAGGCCACTTTCGGGACTGGCCGAACTGCTGGATTTCACCAATGGAAAAGGCAAAATGAAACGAAATATTTGAAGAAGTTGCAATTTTCACATTATTCAGTGTTGTCATGTTTGGTGTATAATGCAATCAAGACTTCAAAAAGTCAAAGATCAAACCAAAAAGAGCTTTACGGTTTAAGAGCTACAAATTAAGAGTCAAAGCTAATTGTTATTTAAAATTTTGCATATTTCGGGTATTTTTGTGGACTTTTCTAGCAGGGCTGGTAAGTAAGAGTTGAGGAGTTCTTCGACAGATAAATAAAAATATAGAAATTTAATAACTCTCAAAGATTATTTACGAGCTCTGCTTTCTGGGCTGTGTTATTTCTTTATATAGATTTCCGTTTGTTATGAATGAGAAACCGAAAAGGAAGGAAATAGAACCCACACGAGAGCCGAAGAAAATGCCACACATACACCGCAAGTAGAAGTGCAATGAGTGCGTTTGTGATCAGATAAGTGATATGTAGAGTAAAGAGATTAGATATGCCAAATCATAATGCTACGATAATGTATGTACGAGTATAATGTATATGTGGGTGAGGGATATATATATATAGTATAAACATTGAACGTAGACTTATGAGTGTACCCGTTATTGTTATTATTATGCCCATTTTGTATTTGCGCCACATTATCCTCAGAACCTGACCTGCTTAAGCTGCCAGCGTCATCGGGCTGGTCGTCGCCATCTTCATGATGGTCATCGGCGCTGCCATTGGAATGTCTAAAAAAAGAAGGGAATCCATTAGAATTTTGTTTAAATTAACTCAACTTTAACAACTCACCTAGAGGTTCGGTGACCGTTCTGTAATTGATTTCGATTCGCCTGCGGACTACTGGTTGCCACCTGCGCCTGACTGGCCTTGTCCAGATAACCCTGGTACTTCTTCAGATCCAGTTTCAGCTTTTCCAACTTGTGCTCCGACTCGTTCAGTTGTCCCTCGACGGTCATGGGATTGCCCAGCGATGAATTCGCCTCATAGACGATCTTCATCTTCATTAGGCCATCCCTAGCGTTCGTTTCCTGGGCGATCTTTTGCTGCAGCTCGGTGATCTTGGCCTGCAGCTTCTTTCTCCTCTGATTCGGTGGCAGATCGCTAAAGTCCTCCTTTTGTCCGTCCGCAGTTAGGGAATTCTGTGTGCAATCAACAGAAGGATTAGTTTATAATATAGAATTAACATATTTATAATTATGATATATAAAGAGCGAATGCAATGAGTAATACAATACAATACAAATCAGAACTATATAAAAAAAGAGGACAACACGAGTTATACAGCAAGACGACATCCACAACAATAGAAAAATAGTTAACAAAAACCTTATAATAACCAGATGAGTGATGCAATTTGCAATCGTTATGCATTTTTTTATTATCATAAAGTCTTTGCTTGCACGCAGTGAGTGAAAGTAATTAAGAATTCATAAACAAAAATCATCACAGAAACGAAAGACAAAATAATAAATGCAAATATTCTGATAATCCAAATGACCCGCTTTCAACATCAATCACTTAAACCCGTTTCCGACATCAACAGGCCATTAAAAAATACCATAAAGAAAAGTTATGGAAATGGAACGTAAGGGAAAATAA